ATAAATTGAATTTAAATAAAATATGTAAGAAAGGCTATTATTGTTTAACTTCAGAGAACTTTTAAAATCTCATTCTCACATTAACATTCTCCTTTTCTAATACTATACACTAGATTTTTCCAACTAAACAGTTTTAAAAGCCTTCTTCTGAAGATGTCCGAAGAGTGCCACACATGCTAAGTATTTGCTAAAATACCTTGCTTTAATAAAAAATGCAAAGAAAATGTGGAAGCATGTACTAGCTTGTTTGAAAAAAATGAAAATGATAATACCTGACAAGCCAGAAAGATAGCTTTCCAGTTGTCTTCAAAAAACAAATCTGGTAGACAGCCATATCATCCAACCAGACAAAATAGACAGCTGCTTCTAACTGAAATACAAATGAGTTGAAAAATAGTTCTTACAAGAAAGATGGCTATTTGTGGTAACAGAACAAACATTCGTGTTTGGCTTCAGAGTTTCCTTTCCTCTCCAGGAACCATTTTCATAACGCAAGAGAGACCCATTCTCCATTTTCTATTTTCACATTTTGCTTTTAAGAAGCTATTGATTCCTCAATGAATAGCACTGCAGCTAACCTTTGAAAGAAAATTCTGGTGCCGTCCTTACATGTACAAGGTTGCTATTCTGTGGTACAGACATTGCCAAAATAAACAGCAAGCAGTTAGTTGTGACATCCAAGCCAACGTTTGTGCTTTCAGTTGTGGAGGACTACTGTAATGGATGGGAAGCCCAGAATGAGTCAGTCTAAACAAATGCTTTATGACTGCCTCTCAAATCCTAGCACAGTATTTAATATGAGTCCCCAGAACATGAAAGATGCTTTGATATTGGCTTGCTGGGAACCAGGTATTGATCTTTTGAGCCCCTCTTCCCTGTTTATTTCTCCTTTTCTGCAGAAGTGTCCCAGAGGGGACAGTTCTTTGGGTACATTTAGCAATCACTATGCACAGTTAAGCCACTTATTTTAGCCACCAAAGAGATACACCAAATCAAATAGTTAATGTTTATGACCAACATGACAAAAAATACACAAAAATGTTTAAATCCCTTATGAACATATGTATTCTTTGAACACCACCATTACAATGATGGTCTAAATATCGATCATTTGCACACAAAACAACAGAAAAGCAAATTAAAGTTTATCAGGTGGTAGGAAACTGACATTCAGAATCAATGAATCACTCTGTTACATTTAATCCCCATTGATTCAAGGAGTTCAGTACACCTTCCAAGCTTGTCTTTATGTCATATCATAAAGTGTAAGGCAAATGGAAATTTATTAAGCTATGAATCCTTTATTACTTAAATTCAATAAACTCTAAAAGGCTCGTCCATAAATGGCGGCTCAGGTTCTCCATGTTTAAATTTTTTAATACAATAAAAAGCTTTAGTAAAATTGACACTGTGGTCTAACACTCTGTACTGTAGTAACCAAATCTCAAGCTTAAACCACTGATACTAGCCCACCAGAGGGTAGCAGGGCCACAGGGAATGCAGGCACAAGCCAGATAGAAATGGCATTTCGTCAACGAGCTTTTGAAGCCAAGGATGAAGCTGCTAACCCCAGAGAGAACAAAGTCCTCCAGAATGAGAATTGCTAAGATATGGGATAAATATGGGGGGTAGAATAGTTCCTATTGAGGATGCAACTGGTCACAGATTATTACTTTGACACTTAAATGGAGCCAAAGGACACAGACCTGGATACTGTTTAGACAAAGTGACCTAAGCAGAGCACTGAATAAAGTGACATTGCTGTCCATCGTATAGCCCTTTGCCCTCCCTCCCATACCACCAAAATTACTGGTTATGCAACTGGTACTTGATGAACCAAGTACAATAACAATGCCTTCTTTCATCTAAACCCATCCCCTCAGGTAGCAGTGATGAACAACAGGTGCCACCACTGCTTCTGCTGGTGCTGGCTGCAGCTCCTCCTCTGGTGTTTGTAGCACCAGAGGCTGGACTTCCAGGGAGGCCACAAAAAACAAAGCATACAAGCCGCAGTGAGATGTAACAAGGGTTGGTGCCCAACACCTACCAGCTCCATCTGGAATCCTCATCACAACTATTAACTAATGAAGGAGATGAAGTCCTTACAATTAAACAGGGTAACTGTAGCTGGTAAGGATTTGCAGATGTAAGTGCAGATACAGACAACACAGAAGCTATTCAGAAGATAATAAGCAGTAACAGACCACAGAAGTGTGCCTCAAGGATGTTCACGTCCTATACTGAGTCGGTGCAGCTGACAAATGAGCACCGTTTTTATTTAGCTCTTGGACTGAGACTCAGCTCTTGCAATTCATTCAAATGCAAACACAGAAATGCAACATGCCAATTATAAAACTAATTACCTTTTGGGATCCAATTCAAAATTAGTTTTCATATTCTGAGCACCTAATAAGCAGTACGTCCAACATGGAATATGTTATAATCCTTTGAAAGCACAATCAGTGTGGATCTGCAGTAAAATAGTACTAAACATTCTATGAAGTATCCTATACAGCATTTTTTGGAAAAAGAAAACAGTCTGGTTCTTTGAATCAGTAGGCAACCTGGCTGCACTGGAGCAGCAGAATGAGCATCCAGAGTAAGAGCAAGGTATCACAGGGATGTTCTTCTCAAGGTCATCTAAAGAAAATTTAGACTACTGACTGGAAAGACTCACATTTCAACTAATGTTGAGCCAATTTGCACAGTCAAGCATCCCAGAATTGATTTATCCTGTTATCAATATGATATTAAATCCATCTGTTGATATTTATTTGAAATACAAGTTTTCATAGGATTTCTCTAATATTTTAATGAAATTAATGCATTCTAGACATAATGAAATCAATGCAAATTTTCTCATAACTTCAACAGCTTTGAAAATATCTGGAAGCGTGCTATTCAGATTGGACTCAAGCCTCCACAGAAACATGCTTAAAGTGGACTGAATATGAAATCCCAAACCTGGGAGGCATTTAAGGATTTTTTCAAGAAATTACTTATGCAAGAACATAAGCTATTGCCTACTTTTCCAACTAACCTCTTTTCAGATTATTATGGCAATGCAACCCAGAGCCAAGTAGTTATTCTTCTGTCTAGTGACCAGTTTTCTTCCTCATTTGAAGTAAAACAAGATTTCTCTTCACTGACAAGCTACCAAGAAAAAAAACATGTTTGGCAGATGATGCAATAACACTCCATTAACTCTGAAATGAAGGGTGGAATAAAACAGCCCACACTACTTGTTACTTTTTTAAACCTAGTTCCCTTTTAAAATTACATATTCTTAAAAAAAAAAAAAAAGACAGGTTTTGCTTTGATACCTTCTAAACAGATCTTTTTCAAAAAATGAAGCCTTCATCCCATACGTTTGTCTGGCTACTAGCCTTGCAGAATTGGAATAAGGTAGTTTGAAGTTTCACTCATTCCCTTTAAGGCCAAGTTTAGTGAAAGCATTAAACAAGAAATAGGCCTTATAGCATATAAATATAAATAGCATTATAGCATTTTCTGTATTTAAAAGACACTGTTCCAATTCATGGTATCTTCATTTTAAAACTGTATCCCATGTGCCATATTTGATCTTAACCAGAAAGCTATATCCCTGTTTGTGTTGGAGCAAACAAAAATGAACTAATTTGAATTCTGTTTTGCACAATAACATTTGTCCTATATTTTGTTCTTTTTGTGTGTGTACTCATATTTCAAATAAAATATATTGATATTGAAAACAATACTTAACTAGTATTAACTCATTGAAATTCTAAGTGCCACCAACATATGGTAAATGAACTTTGTTGTTGTTTTTAAATTAAATACATAATACCTCAAAAAAAAAAAAAGCTTGTGAGATAAATATTGCACTACATCCAAAATGTAGAAAATTACATTTCAGGTGAAAAATATATTTCCCAACTTGGCATTCGTAATTTTTAAATCTCATTCTTTCTTATGAAAGAAATAAGAGATGGACAACCTGAAACATATTTCAATATGACTGGATGCAGAATGGCCCTTTCATCAAAATATAGCTTGCTTATCTAAAAGATATCAGAACTGGTGACCTAGAAAATGTAAAATAGATTAATGAAAATGAACCTAGAAATAAATACTGGCATAGTATATAATTTAATATTGTTAAAAGTAAAGTGCTATTCTATTCCACTTCAGGCTCTCTGAACATGAATGAAACGCTCAAAGCTGTGGGAATATTTGTATTTTATGATTCAATTAAGAACATAACTAATCAAAATTACATTCAAGAGAGACTCTTCTTCCTCCTGGTTTACAAGCAACCTCATCACTTTGGAGCAGCCATATGAATGAACATATTGAGATTCAGGTATCTTCTCCTAGCTTCTACAAATTTCCTCCTCCTAATTTTAAAGTAAATCCAAACCTCTGATGTTCTTGACAGTCCTTATCAGCTTTTCTTTAAAAATCACTCAGTAATATGAATCTGGATGTTGTTCTTAACAGTAACTGCTAAATCCTCACATCCAGATGCATATCACTTCTTGTCTGTTTATAAATACTTCTTATCATAATGATCTACTTCTAATTTTGGGCATTTTCTGTGCTCTTCTGACTTCTCCTTGATTTGTAAACTCTCTAGGATAACGCTAATCTTTTTGTTTGTTTTTGTATCACACAAGACACATTGAGACTTGATCTGTAACTACCATCTTCACTCACTATAGGAACACGGACACAAGAAGTACTACGGATCATTTGGGGCGTGGGGGAAGGGGGGGGGGCAGGTTACACTCTTATAGAAGTAATCTTAATATAGCCTAACCAATGCATAAACCAAACCTGAGCTAAACAAATGAATAAAAGACCCCAAGCAGCAGATAAAGCACAATGCCTATATATGCACACACACGTAATTTTATATAGTGCTGTGTATGTGTGTGTATGTATGTATATATAGATAGAAATGTAAGCTACACACATCTTTTTACCCATCCATATATGTAACAAAGAAAACTTCAAAGAAATCAAGACATCTCTGATGACATCTTTTATGCTATTTTGTATGAAGAGGTTTTGGTTTGTTGACAAATACTTTCACAAGTTTTACATAGACGCATATCACATAGTGATCATGAAATTACCGGAAGGAACTACTGATACTGTATGTGTTTATACAAGGATAAAAACTGAACAGTAATAAGGTCTTAACCAAAAAATAATCCTTTCAGGAAGTAACTTAATTCAAAACCACTTAATTTAAATCAACCAATTTAAGTAAGAAAATTAAGAGTATTCTTATATACTTCTTGCTTAATTCAGAGCTGTTATTTACAGTATGGAAAATTACATTAATATGCAGAATCACTTAAAAATTTAAAACACTTATAATGCATGGAGTTTGTTTCTTTGTTTTTAGGTACATATTTCTGGAAACATTTCGTTATGCGAAAATATTCATCATTTTGCCTTTTTATTCTCCATACAATTTTAATATGCTTTGTAGTTTAACAATTTGGATTTCCCACAGGCCATAAATTGTATTTCTTAAAACATCTCTACTGACAGACTTCAAAATTAGAACGCGATTTAGATTACTTGCATCACTTTCTGTCAATTATTCCCACATTACTTATTCACTTGAGCTGTCTCAGTGTTATAACAATACATCAATAATTTCTACATGAATTCCTGTGTTATTTTTCAGTTGCCACCATGACAAATAACTTTATCATCACCTTTGTCAGAACTTTTAATCAGTAGATCTCAAAGATCTTTGGAGAATGGAAAGATACTAAGTAGTTAGGTTTGCTTTGCCAAAAAGTGCTAAACTACCACTTTTCTACAAAGAATCAGCTTGTTGAAATGAACCGTTCACATAACAGGACTTGATTTCCCTGGTTTTCCCAATGTGGGCTTAAGGATGGAGGGAAGAGAGGCTATTCAAAAAAAACAGTATGGGATTTTAGAAATCATTTACTCTTCTGGTGTCTCTAAATTCTCCGAGTATTCTAAAGTTCAGAAAATTCTCAGAAAACAAAAGAACCCATATTAAAGGTTCTTAAGAAATCTAATCTCATTAGAGCTCTGTTTCATAAATAAGTAATTAACAATAGGCAACTTTATTTTTCATTTGGATTCACCTTGACAGTGCTCCTGGTATATTACTACAGTAAGCTATCTATCACCACTACGCACCTCAGCCTCGAGCTGCAGAGGAGAGGACAGAAACAGCAAGACCCCCAGAATAACTGCCTTGAATAGAGAAGGCAGAAAATCAGGCTTCTTCCTTCTCCGCCAGGCCATGTCACTTCCCATGCCATATATTTATGGAACTACTTCAGAGAATGGCTGAAGTTGGAAGGCACTTCTGTAGGCCTCCTGGTCCAACCCCCTGGATCAAGCAGGGCCACACAAAGCACGTCACGTCCAGGTGGGTTTTGAAGGTGTCCAAGGAGGAGACACCACAGCCTGTGTGGGCAACCTGTGCCAGTGCTCAGTTGTCCACATGGTAGAGAAGTGCTTCCTGATGTTCAGATGTTACCTTCTCTGTTCCAGCTTGCACCCAGTGCCTCTTGTACTGGCAATGAGGCACCACTGAAAAGGGCATGGCTTCATCTTCTCTGTGCCCTCATAGAAATGAATGCTTGCAGGTTGTTGCCTTTTTGTGTCAAAAAAAAAAAAAAGCAGTCACGCACCCATGAAAACCCACAGTAAGGTTACTACAGCATGTTAACAGAAATACCAGTCTTTGGTTGCTCTCTTGTCCACACATCACAGCATAACTCCTCTAGAAAGGTCCCCAACACTATAAGCTTCCCCATCAGCCTTCACGGGGATCCACCACCTGAAAGGTCTCTGACAGCAGGCTTCTGTTTCCAGGCTCACAAATTCAGTATGGCCACTCCTTCCAAAGAGGCAAACCACACACCTTACCTCACCAAACCCTTCAAAACAGATACTGCAATAGTGAGCTGTTTTAATGCGTGCATTCATAACACAGAAGTGGCAGTCAGAGGAGGGATGTGTACATAAGCATTTTCACAGAACTTTTTATATAAAATATAAATAAAAGACTACTACTGTTGCAGGGCAGAAAGATGAGGAGGTGATAACCCTCAGCCATTGACTTCAAAACACAGAAAGAACTAGGCAGTGCAATATGGCATAAACTGCAACAACAAAGCTTGCTTGAGTTACAAAATTAAAGGGTAGACTCAAATGCAGGAATCAAGTGTTGGTATCTGCCACAGAGAGCAGAGCCAATATAAACGGTGCAAAAAGAGTGAGAATGATTTTTCCAAAGTTTTTACTCTAGCTAAAAGCCTTTTGACAATAGCGAAGGCAAAGTACCTAGCTAGGAAAAGCAAGTTACACAGGCAAAACTGTCAGAGGGCACCAATTAAAGAGGGATTTTACATCATTTCAGGAACTTCACAAGCATAAGTGTTACCTGTTCGCATTCATGTGAGGCAGATCAACTGCTCCTACCTGAACTTCACACAGTCTGTGAGCCAAAGCAATTGCTTTGGGAATTCAGCCTTCCACATCAAAAAAGATTAGCTTGCAGTTATTAAGGGCTTGAGAAAGTTTTTCCTTTGTGAAGGCATGACACTAACATTATGTCAGAACTCAACTATGAACTCTTTGAAGCAAGGACTGAACCCAACTAAGTGTGCATTTGGAACGGGGCCAGGCTCTGTTACATACTGAACTGTGGTTTGTTGGCACCACTACAGTCTCAATAAAAACAACAACAGCAGAACAAGAAGGATTTATAAGAGGTGCTAATATATCTTCACAGGACATAAAACAGTTGGCATATAAATTCTGAGGGAAGTTGACCTTCGGGTAGATTTTACAACCAAGTGTGCAAGTGACTTATGCATGGATTATGTAACTAAATTGAGACTAAATTTCATTCAAGCACCTTGAAAGCAAAATTGGGGGGAAACTACTTACTTAAAAAAACTACAACAGAACACTAACTAGGAAAGAAAAGCCTACAGACAACTTTCTTTCATCATACATACTCAACCTACCTGGACTGAAGAAAGTCATCACCATGAACAGACGTTCAGCCTACTTTTTTAAATGAAATTATGCTCTAAATCCACCTCTCCCACTGCATCAAAAAAAACCTGCTGCTGTTAACTCACCATATATGTTCACTCCCATTTTCTCATCAATTCCTGTCCTTCCAGAATAGCCAGCTGAAAGCACTACTCCCAGTTAAGTAGCCCCCAGATGTAGCTAGGTAAGCAACTTAGCCCTGCTAAATGATGAGATGGAGTGCAGCTGTAGCCCTGTAGCCAATAGCTTACACTTCTCTCCCTTCTGCTACTCTCAGTTTTCAGGAGACATATAGGAATTACAGTTCCTTAAGATTTTATCTCCTTGAAAGGGAAAATTAGCTCTATACTTTTATATGTGTCAAGACATTGAAAGATGAATCTGCCCATACTCAGACAAAAGAGGGGTCAGGGTGCCGATAACCACAGGAGTAACAAATCATCAAATACTACAAGAATATTAAGCAGCAGTCTATGAAAATATAAAAGATTAAAATGTTTGGGTGAGAAAAAGTAAAGATAATTTGCATTACCATCTGATTCACTCTCCAAAAGCAAAACTGTTTCTAGAAATGTATTGTCTGCAATGAATATTGAAAGTCAAAAATGGAAAATTGCATTCTTACAATACCATCAGCTTGAGAGAATAAATGACATTTCTGATTCATTTTCCAACAGAATTGGTGACAAAGTTCCCATTGAAAGAGCCTCAAGTTATCTCTCTGACCAATTTTGTCCAAAAAGAAAGGAATAGGTAAAACGTTTTTCTCCAGGGAAATATGACAACAATCTGCTTAGGCAGTCACCAATGTTTATGACAAATTATGACACATATGAGTTTGATGAAAGCCTGATAAAATCAGTCCAATTTTTTAATCAACCAAGCTTTAAAGACTAATTAGTTTAAAGACTAATTTTAAAGACCATGCTGGATAATAGGTCTCTCATGAGCTGCAGAATTGGCCAACTAATACAATATAAGAATAGAATAAAAGCGTTACTGAGCAATTTTGTAAACCTGTTATAGGCTTTTATTTTAATTCATTTACAGAAGATAGAGTGGGCAAATACTTCCCCTGAAGTATGAGCAACATTTAAAAATTGCTACAACAAATGCAATCAGAAAATACAAAATAAACTCTAGTGCTAGCAAGCCGCTCTCCACACAATGAGACTCAAACAGAAAACAAGGAGAGAAAGGAAGTTTGGAAATAGATGAGCAAGTGTAAAATGACTAAGTTGGTCAGAGAGGAAAAACGCACAGATGACTTTTGATAGAAAGCAAAGCTCATCTAGGTGCTTAGAGAGTTCAGTTAATCAGAACTACTATATCTGCAACACTGTATTAGAAAATTAGGAATTTTCAAGGTTCACTGGCAGTAGTATCCATATTATATTTGGCCAGTCTGAGACAAATGTAAATTCCTGCATGAAGCAGGTTTCTGAAAGCAAAGTAAAGAAAACTCATAAATGTAAAAACAAGAAATCAAGTTTTGCAAACGAATCCCACATCAGCTAATTCTGCTGTTGGTGTACATTGACTGCTCCTCCTTCCCTGCTCTGTGAAGCCTTAGTGGATGGTATTTCTGTGTCAGATAGCTTAATATGTATACATCAGACTGATTCTGGGTTACTGAAAAAAAAAATAAAAAAAAAATTACAAAAACAGTTACATGGATTTTTTTTTTTTTTTGATATTAATTTTTTGGGTCCCTTTGCTGACTTTGTGCAAAATTTTCAGGCATGAATGCAAATGGTTTTGCAAGACAGTCCAAATCTATGGCACATGTTAAAGCAATCACAAGGAAGTTTCTTGTGAAGGATGTTCTTCAAGTTGGCAGGCAACTCCTACTCCCTAAGACAGCAAGAAGAAACAGCAGAGAGCAGCAGAACAAAAATATGCACTTAATTAGTTAAGGCATAAGAAAGACAAAACTTTTGATGTAAAAAACAGCAATTGTGGAGCTACAGTTGTGGAGGTCTCAATGTGCCTGACAATTCAAGGCATTGCTAGTAGAGCTTGTAGCAGCAATTTGCCTTTAAAGCAGCGATGCCCAGAATGGATGTGTACAGGGCCACCCATGAACCACCAGGCCATCATGTCTGTGAAATGAAAGCCCTTAGACCCCCCTCTCCCAAAAATGACTGCGCACTCCCCAGGCAGCTGCAGTGCAGGGCTGAGGCTCTGTCTGTTTTATTTACCAAGCCAATTGCTGCGTGCTAACCCAGATAACAAATCAGCCAGACAGCCACACATTACACATTCGCCTGGATAACTGAAGCATATTGACCTGGTAAAATCTCACAAGATAACTTAGTTTGCAATGTAGCCAAGGTGTGACTGGATGGTACCATTTAATCGGTGCTGCAGGGAAATAAAGACCCTATTGTGCTGTGGCTGATTTGAGATCTTTCCTCTGGAAATCAGACATTATTTGGTTATGTTTTTATCTTTAAAGCTTGCAGGAGCTATGACATTTTGCATCCTTAAGGTTATTAGAAGCTTGATTAACAGTTTTATCATATCAATGGTATAAGATAAGGTTCACCCTTGTTATATAGTTTAGATAATGATTTGAAAGACAAATCAGTAGAAGCAATTATGAAACAATAAAGCCAGGCGTGTTGGCTAAGTTGATTAGCAAGATGTATTATATAAATTTTTGCTAAAAAGATTTAATAGAGGGAATAAATAAGCAGAGAAATGAACTAGCAAGTTGTACATAAACACTGCATAATTTTTTATATAAACCATATTGTCTTATATAATTTGCCATTACTTGATGTTTAAATTTTTTAGAGAATGGGATGATAAGAAAGGAAGCAAAATGTAAGATACTGGTAAGGTGATTTCTGTCTTAGAAGTTATCATACAATCCAGATTCATTTCCTAACATGACATTTTGGAATGAGGGACAGGATGAGTACCAGGGAAAGGAATATTACTCACAGTATAAGAAAAGTCCAATCATCATTTCATATACACAGTGTGCTAACTGGTCTATATTATACATTAGTAAGTTAAATTGCATACCTACTAATTCTCACGAAAAAAAAAAAAAAAAAAAGCACTAGAAAATTACATTTGCAACTAGTACATGGAGGTTCACTGAGCCTGCATAGAGTGTAGGCTCTAGATAGAGGATAAGCTATCAAACTTTTCAAATGTTCACATTTCATTTCTGGAAAAAAAAAAAAAGAAATTCAGAAAGATTCTCGAGAGTTTTTGAGACTACTCAGAATGAATAATGTTGAAAATTCACAGCCTTCTTATATATCAGCTCCTTTTGAACTTGAATATACTTTGCATATCTGCCTTTATCAGAAATATTGACCAGTAAATTTAACATATGATATGTCCGAGTCCTGAGAAAATACTGGAACCAAATAAATTATAAACATATAGTAATAATTTAGTGACCGACGATAAACTTTGATGAACAGTAAGAGGATTTGGGATTATAAATTATGTTATTTTAAAGCAAAATATCATTTCTCTGCATGAGAGTAATTCACTTCCCCACATGTACCTCCGTCTACTAACAAAAATCATGTTTATATCTATAGTCAGTGCTGGTGATTTCAATCCTCCTTTCTCTGCTGATGAATAACAACATTAAAGCAGGTCCATGTTATGAATTCAGAACTACTTCACAGCTTTATTATATTTACTACCAAACAACTTCAGCCAATTGATGTATGTTTTTCATCTCCACATTGGCAACAATAAGTAAGAAAATATTTAATGTGGATAGCTCTGTTCAGGCAGTGGTGTTCAACAGTGTCTGTTGCCTACAGTCATCTAACGACTTGTTTCACTCTTCAAAATGCTTTTTTCTCCTAGAGTAAACATGTAGGGAATACAAGAATAATCTATCTTATCATAAACCAAATGAAAAATGGTTAACCATAAACTAGTTGCAAAGGATGCCACACTAATACAACTGGCATGTATTTTTATCTAGAGATAATTCTGCATGTTACTAAACTGTACACAAAATAGTGAAAAAAAAATGCCCAACTTTCAGTTGGTGAAAATAAGAATTTTGCTGCAGGAGTTCTTACTGCAGTAGGTCTTTATTAAATTCATACACCTGATAAAAACCTCCCTGCCCCACTGGAAAATGGCTTTACCAAGTGTCCCCAACCTTTTTTATCCCTTTTTTCTTCATAATTTACATTTAAATCAGACAGAAATTTCAACTACCAACATCACTGGGAGTTGCTCACCTCTTCCACCGATAATTTGAGCTTCAGCTTCAGTGCTAGTGATTAAATTAGCAAGTCAAACAAGGTAAATGCAGGAGGAGGAACCAGAGACATCTTTGTTGCACCTTCTATGCCAAACTGATTATGCTGATGGCAACAGTTTGTTTTTAGATCACTAATGGATCTATCCAAACAATCCATTTGACATCATTTTCACAAATAAGTAATGTCACCTATGGATATTTTTCACAGAGCCTAATTGTCTAACATAATAAAGGGGACAATTGAAGGGAAACGCACAAGCTAACAGTAACTTCCAGACACTGGCAATTTGCCTGTCCTTTACAAACCCATTGTGTCCTTTTGTTTATTGAGATGGACAAAACATTCACCACTAATTCAGCCAAAGACTTTCGGCAAAATAAGAACATGTATTTTAACAACTTTAAATTCAAGGGCAATCCAAAGAGAAAGAAAAGAGAACAAACTACTTCACAAAGCATTAAAAAATCCATCATACTGATAGGGCTTTCTTCTCAAGGAGCCAAAAAAATTGGTTCCTTGAAAAAAATTGCAACGCAAGGTATTGAGGGCAAGCTGTCAGATTGCTTAGAAAGGCACAATAAAACAGAACTAATCTTTACCTAAATACTCATTTAATACACTCATTTGTTTGCCTAGACAGTTCTTAGCTGGATTTAAATAATTATCTGGTTTGCTTTGAGAAAAGGTGCCAGCCAGACTATGTACTCTTTTCTTGACTACAACTATTGTTATCACTTACGTTATGCCATTTTATCTTCAGTTTTGCTTTTTACTGAGGAACTTCCTTCTTTTCTTAGTCATATATGTGCTTTCCACAAGAGAAACATAGTCAAATAAGTCACCATTAACAGTTTTTCCTTAGGACCTTCCATCTAGCCATTTCTATGGGGTTGGGGGTTTGTTTTTTTGGGGGTGTTTTTCTGGTCTCTTCAAAGGAGCATCACATTTTACAGAATCACAGTATCGCAGAATCGTTTAGGTTTGAAGAGACCTCCAAGATCATCTAGTCCAACCTCTGACCTAACACTAACAAGTCCTCCACT